GGGTCTCGCTCTTGCTCAGGCTGGTCTCGAACTCCTGACCTTGAGCGATCCACCTGCCTCGGCCTCCCAGAGTGCTGGGATTACAGGCGTGAGCCACTGTGCCCGGCCCAAGAAAAGGAATCTTAATATCAGCTATGATTCAATTGTCTTTTTGTATACTCTCAGCCTTATCAATGGATATGCATCTTTGTAATCATGAGACTTTACTGCTTTCTCAATTACCAATGTAACTCAATAAATCAATAGTTCTTTAGAGAATCTGTCATTAGATTTTGGGAATATAAACAATTTTGTTGATCTCAGAAAATATTAACACATACCTGTCACGTGTATAGCCCAGCTTAGGTTCAGTGTAATTGATAATATCCTCTGCTGCCCAGGATGGCGACTGGTTTCCACAAAGAATCATCTGGACTTCTTCATGGCTGAAGGAACTTAATTTCTCCATTGGAAAAACTTTATTAAATCCATCTACATTGTACATACATCAAAAACACAAAAACAAAACATACAGCTCAGTTTCCAAGTTATAATTCCAAAATACGAAACTTCAAATCAAAATACCCATTATTGGAATCAATCTAAGTGTCTATCAATTGATGAATGGACAAAGAAAATGTGGTTTATATCCATAGTGGAATACTACTTGACTATAAAAGAATGAAATCCTATCATTCGCAAGAACATGATGGAAACTGGAGGTCATTATGTTAAATGAAATAAGCTGGACACAGAAAGACAAATATTGCATGTTCTCACTCATATGTAGGAGCTAAAAAAGTTGATCTCATAGAGGTAAAGAGCAGAATGATAGTTACCAGAGGCTGGGAAAGGTGTGTGGTGGGGGGCTGGTATGGAGAGGTTGGTTAATGGGTACAAACATACAGTTAGAAGGAATAAGTTCCAGTGTTTAATAGCACAGTAGGGTGACTATAATATTTAACAATAATACACATACAATATATATTGTAAATTTTAAAGTAGATAGAAGATTTGAAATGTTCTTAACATAAAGAAATGATAAATGTTCAAGGTGACAGATATCCTAAATACCTTGATTTAATCATTCCACATTCTATGCATGTATCAAAATACCACATGTACCCCATAAATATGTACAAATATTATGCAACAGTAAAAAATATCCATTATTAAATGGACAGAAGATGAATAAAATATTCATAAATGTTTGAATAAACAAATATAAATTAAATTTGCTTGAAATAAAAACTGCTAGGGTTTTAAGTAAAAAAAAAAAATCTCTCCTTAATATCACAAATGTGAACAGAGACAGAACATTCAGTCACTACAGTCAGTAGCCAAATTCTTGTAACTACTCGATCTGGAGGCTCACTAGCTCTTTGTGTCATACAAGCCAGCCAAAGTTGTGTTCTCATTTTCAAAAGTGATTTATAGTCTAATATACTTTGTTCCCATCTTCACCTGAAGAACTTAGATGCTTTCATGGTTTAATTCATCCTGATCATGTAAATTAGAATATATACAACCTCACATCCACTTTACAAATGAAGAAATGAGAACCAAAAGTGGGTCCCGTTACCCCAGAGGAGCAAGCTGAGGGTATACTACAGCCTGACAATGTTCCAAATTGTTCTGGGTACTGTGCAGGACCTAATTATCTAGAGGACAAAACACTAGAGGGCAAGTTTACCAGCAATTCTTGACCTTAATTTCATGCATCTCAAAGTAAAAGGAGAGGGATTATGCTAAAGATCCTTTAAAATTACCTCTAAAGGCTTCCATTTGTTTCTGAATACCCGTATGCATACAAAAGTCAAACATCAAATCCACATATTCTTCTGCATTATCCATTGTTATCATCTGCAAAGGAAAATGTGCCAGCATAAATAACTGTTAATATCTAGGAGTACTTCAGTAGGACCCAATACAATGGGCCTTGTTAAGAGGATGCTCCAGAACTTAAAACTATATTAAAAGCAAAATTTTTACCTCATCTTCACCACTTGGTTTGAGATCCACAGCTGTGAAACCATATATTCTTGAGGAAGGGCAAAACTGGAAATTTAAACTGAGAGGACAACAAAGATTAGATTAACTCACATTCAGCTATTATTGGTATTTAATTTTTATAACATTGCTGTCAAAACCATGAGTTAGTTACCCCCTCCTCAAACAACAAAATTAGCGCACCAGCTTAAATTTAAGTATGAGGCCTTTTTAAATGAAAAGCCCTGTGCACAAATACGAGGCCAACTGTTTTGCAAAGATTACATGAAACCACCACCTTTCCATGTTTTACTTCCCCCTCCCTCATGGCACAAAATTAATGAACTAAAGAATTCTGCAATGAATTATGACAGCAACATGCTTGTAAGACTTTTTTTTTAGGAAGAAACTATTACTTCACTGAAGTTATTCATGCTGTGTACAAATACATCAGTCCTTGAATATATGACCATTTATCAAACACAACTTCGCAATATTATCAGCAAACATTAAAACAGAAAAAAAGAAAGCAAGCCTTACATTTAACCTAAAATCACAGGAGAATGTACTGAGGGTAAGATATTACATGTATATAAATTAACAGAATTTTATCAGAAGATCTGCAGCATCTTAGTTGATGCAGCCACTGGGGATAAGGCTAACATACCAAGAAAACTATATGTGAGCTTTGCCAAGCAGGCCATATATATTAGTTGATGAATTTGTCAAAAATAAGCTTTGGACTTTTTATACTAGACATATAAATTTATCACATTTGATAAATCAGATAATCTTCCAGAGGTTTGATGATTAATAAGCTATATTCCGGTATTCTGAGTGTTATCTTTTTTTTTTTTTTCTAAAAGACAGAGTCTCACTTTGTTGCCTGAGCTAGACTGCAGTGGCATGATCATAGCTCACTGCAGCCAAACCCAAATCCTGGGTTCAAGCCATCCTCCTGCCTCAGCTTCCCGAGTAGCTATAGGAACGTGCCAGCATGCCCAGCTAATTTTTTAATTTTTTGTAGAGATGGGGTCTTGCTATTGCCCAGGCTGGTCTTGAACTCCCTGGCCTCAAGTGATCCTCCCACCTCAGCCTCCCGAAGTGCTAGGATTACAGGCATGTGCCACTGTGCCTGGCCCTGAGGATTACCATTATAATATTAACAAATCAAAAGTTCAGATTAATAACCAATATTTCCCATAGCATATTACTGTTTTTGATATACTGTTTACTCATATATTGCCAATCAGTGGGGACAAAAAACAAAAGCTTTAGACTTTATTCATCCATTAGGTTGAATGTATAGAATGTATATATAAAGCTTACCCTAAATCCTCTATGCTAAGTGGAGGCCCAGAACCTGATGGATTCTTCAGCACTAGTTCCTGTAGTTTTGTGTTCTTCTCATCTTCAGAAAGACCTTTGTTGCTTAAAATCTGGCGCCTCTTGATAGCAAGGTCTTTAATTTCTTTTAAAAATCTGGCTCTGTGTGGGTTTACTAGTTCAAAGTCTTCCCAAGTTAAAATTCCATTAAACCAAGCTGGGGGTTTTGGTTTAGGGGGATCAAGAATAAATTCTGATTTTGAATCCTCTTCAAAGCTTCCTACTGAGAGTGAATCATGACCTTCCTCTGTAGACGCTTCAGACTGACTTTCGGTACAGTGTAAGTCTCTATCACCTCGTGACTCATAAATCAGTTTACTCATATTGCTTTTAATGTCACCCATACACATAAGTTTAAAAAACGGTTTAGAAATAGGTAAATCCACAAGTCTATTGTCTTGAATGCATTTGGCCAAGAAAATTCCAAGGAAATGAAAGAGTTTCGTGATCCTTTCAAGCTCATCACTATCTTGTGGAAATGGTGCTGTGAACAGTCCACATGATCTCTGTACATAGTATCCAGGAGGTTTCAATCCACCTCCAAGATCAACCTGTTTTTTAAAAGGGAAAATGCAAATAAAATTAAACAAAAGGTAACAGTAATTAAGCCCATCATTATCATGTTACCTAAGAAAAAATCCATAAACATTACACATCTTCATCTTAGCCATCTAAAAGTATACACACGTTTTATATATAGCTTTTGGTGACTAAATTTTATCCTTTAGAAATATTTTAACAATATCATTTGATAATAAAAGTAGATTCAAAAAACCTGGCCCATGTTCTGAAAACATAACCTATTTTTTTTTAATTTCAATATATTTAGGTGGTAAAAGTGCAATTTTGTTACATGGATATATTGTATAGCAGTGAAGTCTGGGCTTTTAGTGTATCCCTCACCTGAATAGTGTATACTGTACCCAGCATAACCTATTTTAACACTTTCCAAAAGCAGAATCACAACTCAAATCACAAAATAAGAAATAAATCTTACCTGACGAGATTCATCATCTGGAAAGTTATCATCACAAAGCCAAGCTCCCAAGTCAGTTCTCTGGAATTCTGCTGCCACCAGAGCATAAAACTCTAATGTGGGACCCAAGCCAGTCCCTTCTTCTCCTAAAAATTCAACCTAAAATATGAACAGATAAATTATGGGGAAAGTGAACGTAAAGTTTTGAGTTTCTTAAAAAAAGATCCAATTCTTATAAAAATTTGTGACATCTGATCCAGTAATAAACCTTTTTTCATAACAGCATGTAGTATAATACAAGCAACACAGGAGTTTTATTTTAGTTTTTCTAAAGAGAACAGCACATTTATTGTACCCTATTACATTCTTTTTTTTTTTTTTTTTTTTTTTTTAGACAGAGTCTCACTGTGTTGCCTGGGCTAGAATGCCGTGGCATCATCCTAGCTCACAGCAACCTCAAACTCCTGAGCTCAAGCGATCCTCCTGCCTCAGCCTCCCGAGTAGCTGGGTCTACAGGCATGTGCCACCATGCCCGGCTAATTTTTTCGATATATTTTTAGTTGTCCAATTAATTTCTTTCTATTTTTAGTAGAGACGGGGTCTCGCTCTTGCTCAGGCTGGTTTCGAACTCCTGAGCTCAAACAATCTACCTGCCTCGGCCTCCCAGAGAGCTAGGATTACAGGCGTGAGCCACCGCGCTCGGCCTCACTATCACATTCTTAAGCACTGTGCTGAGCATTGTTCATACACTAACTTACTTAACACAACAACCCCGCAAAATATTTATTTCCTTTTTACACCCCAAAAAAACAAATCTCAGATAAAGAAGTTAAATGATTTGCTTGAGGAAATGATGTTGCACAGATTTTTATGTGTGTCTATGTGACACCAAAGCCTAAAATCTTCCACTTATTTGTGACTTTAAGCAATAACTTTAAAGGTTTTTGTCCATACTCTACCTGTTCCAAAAATGATTTTGAGGTATTATTACAAAAGCATACAGCACACAGTCTTTTTTTTTTTTTAAAGGATTATCTAGGTTAGAAGAATATAAGGGTAGGAGAAATAAGATGAAGGCAAAGAAAGTTTGTATACAAAGTGAAAGCCATAAAGCCTTGTACGTCTTCTAGAGATGTATCTAATTTGTCACGATCAGGTTGTGATTCAAAAGATAAAAACAGGCCAAGCTATAGTCCCAGCTACTTGGGAGGCTGAGCCAGGAGGATCACCTGATGCCAGAAGTTTGATGCCAGTGCACCCCAGCCTAGGTGACAGGGAAAGATCCTGTCTCAAAAACAAAAAAAAAGATAAACCAGTTGGTTCACATCTGTGGTGGGAGAGGTATTTCCACTGTTCCTCATCTAAGGAATACTATTTAGAGGGAATATAATGAACAATGTTCACATAACACCTCTACAGTAAATATACCAAATTTCATACTGCCATTTGCTATAACATCTCTCAAGACAGATCAATAATATAATACCAAGCACAATTTAAGTGAAACAATATTACAAAACAGTGTGCTCCAAAACTGCAGATATCTAGCTAATAGCAAAGTTTAACCAGAAAGATAAAATTTAGAGTAACAGAAAACATCCCTTGAGGGTACTAATTCAATCCAACTTCATTAAGTAATGGATAGTGGCCTTCAAACACTTTGCCACCTCAAGAGTGAAGATGTTCTTTGTTCGTCATTAATTGTGCAAGATCCTAAACCATGAGGAGGTGGGCTGACATCCTCTTATGAAAGATGCTCTGAGAGAGAAATCCTTCTTCATATTTATCTAACAGTTTTCATGCAGTGGAAGACAGAGATTGGCTGGTTCCCCATGTGTCATTCCTGCTCCCTAAGAGAGATCTTATTTTATATGAAGTTACCTCAAGAACTGATTTCCGATCTGCATGTATTTGCATGACATTCTCAGCCCATTCCATCAGTGATTCACCACGTGGAACTTTTACCCTTTCATGCTTGAGACGACCAACTCGAAACTCTCCAGGATCATCTCGCCTTACGCTGCTTGTGGTCCTTGTTCGTTCCACCGTGGCTTCGCGTCGGTTTTGTAACCACACTATTGCTCTGAAATGGAAAAATATCTATGTAACTGTAGCATATATTAAGAGTTGAATATATTACTACTGAACTAGCAACAGAATTCAAAGATTTAAGAAATTTTTTAAAAAGTGTTTTATAAGGTGATTTTTGAAACACAGTAATCTTTTTTTATTGCATAAAGTCCTTTCATAAGTAAAAATATATAAAACTCCTTTTATTATAATCTGCCTTAAACAAATTAAGGAAGTACTGGGTCCATATTTTCCCTCTTTATTTTAGCAATTACATAAAATTGAAGGTCTGTGGTCCAAGCTCTATATCATACAAAAAATACAGACAAACATTTCCTAACAGAGAAACTAAACAATGGTTAAGCTATTTTTCAAACTGAAAGCCACCATCAAAATCATTGTTATAATTTTAAAACATTTTCTGTATACCAATACAGCTAATCCATCTAGGGTAGGAGGAAGAATCTGTAACTAGGAATGAGAAGATGAAGGTTCTACTCTCAAGTGTGCTACTATAGTTTGGTAATTTCAGGCAAATCAGCTAAGTATTATGAGAATCAATTTCCTCACCTATAAAATAGAAGTCACAATCAATGCCATTTATCACAACAGATCTATAGTTCCATGTATACAAATGCTTTGTAAATAGTATTAAATGGTACAAAAATGTAATTTATCAGGGAAGAAATAGCTACACCTATTTTGAAAGAACCCTTTAAGTATATAATCATTCAACAAAATATTTATGGACCACCTACAATATGCTATACACTGTTTTAGGCACTTTAGCTAGAGCAGAAAACAAAACAGCCAAATTCCTGCCCTCATGAACCTCTGACCTAGTAGAAGGAGACAGAAAAACAAAATTATTGTAAGTAAAATATGTAGTATGTTAGATGGTAGTAAGAGAAAAATGGTCAAAAGGAAGGAAGATATACTCAAATATTTTGTTTGTTTTTTTGTTGTTTTTCTCTTTTTTTTAACTTTCTTTTTATTTTTTCCTGTCCTGGAATAATGCAAGCATATATTTAAATATTATCAAGGCTATCTGCAAGCATTCGGTTTGGTATTGCTGGGAATTTCAGCAACTAATAATTTACAACTACTAAACTACTGTATACAGTAAATGCAACTGCTAAAGTACTATACACAGTAAATGTTAGATGATAGAAACATTTGATTCAATCCAGACTACTCCAACAAAGCATATATCCAACTGAAAATGAAAATTTTAAAATATTGACTACTTTTCTTTCATAAGAACACAAGACAATATATTCTCTCCATCAGTCCTGACAGTATATTTGTACATTTTGAACTTATATAACATTCTAAAAACATAAAAAGATACACTTCCTTAGCACCAGCATGGTGGTGTACACCTTTAATCACAACTACTTGGGAGGCTGAGGTAGGATGATCCCTTGAGACCAGGAATTCACGATCAGCCTAGATGATATAGGTGAGACTCTGTTTCAAAAAAAATAAAGAAAAAGGTACACTTCCTACCTTGATGCACCAAATGCTGTACAAGTGAAATAAAGTTGTCTAGTTTCAAATGGTATTAGAAAAGGACACTTGCTGGTTAACTGTTCACACCAGTCTGGCAGAGCTCCACTTGCCAATGCCAGTGGTTCCTGCAAATTAACAAATAACAATGTCTTAATGTTATAAGGCAATTAATAAAAATGACAAAAAAAGAAGTAAATTCTTTAATTAAGAAACAAATGCACAGGACCGTATGGCCCAAATTACTGAATCAGAGGGTAGGGAGAGATGGTAAGAGGCAAAAGGAAGGAAAGGGAATATTATAAGAAGTCCAACAGTTACAGAATGAAGAGTTCCAACTATCTGATATTATTACCTCAATCTGCTGTAAAATTTTTGTTGTGATTTTTTTGCTAGTGAATTCATCTGGTGGAAAAGTAAACTGAGGCTGCTCATCACTGTCTGTAAAAGTAATTAATGGCGTTAATAAAAATTTAAACTGACTTGCTTTAAGAATGCTATAGAAATGAAACAAGGCTTCTTACAGACCTTCTTGGGATATTCTTGAATAAGGGTCACTTGCAACTATATACAGAATACGCAGAAGCTGAAGGACATCTTCTACTCCACAAGAGTTCTGTCCATTGCCTGCTTTGGCCTGGGGCTGTTCTTTTGTTAAATTAAGAATATCACTACTTTGAAGAGTAGAAATAGCCCCCTGGTTTAACCCAGACTTTGTTCCGTGCTCACAAAAGTCCTGTAAAAAAAATTAGCAAAACTGGCTGTTAATCACATGTTCAAAAAAAGTAATGCATCACTATATTAGCATTACTTTGAAAAGGTGGGACTTTTTCAAAGAATTACTTTCTTTTTAAATAAAAAAAAGTATTACATAAGATGAAAATGAATACCTTCTAAACCATTAAAATTCTCAAATAAAATATAACCACCATAATCCGTAGTTCAAAATCTGTATTCAGAGACAATGCCACGAGTCGTATTTGAAATTTTAGCATTGGCACATTTACAATGTTAATTCAACCTCATTTTTTAATTATGTCCCAATGAACCTCTCTTCCTTAAAAAGCTTTTAAAGCTGCAAAACAAAGCACAAAAGCCATTCCCAATCAAAATAGTGTTTTGATGCCAACATATACCTTATATGCAGCAATGAGCTGAGAACAATTTCTGTTTTTCCTAATACTTTTATTAGTGCCAGTTAATTTCCAGTGGCGCAGGAAAGCAGCATCTGCATTCTTCTGCAGGTAGGTTATCAAGTCATTCTTTGGTAACTCATCAGTGCCAAGGTACTGTTCCACATGCTCTATAGACCAGCAACCCTACAATAGGAAAAACCAAATGTCGGCCTTTCCCAAATATAAATTCTATGGTATTTCACATGCATTTACATGAGGCAGCTTTAGGATCATGCACTTAATCCATTCTAAAAAAATTCGTGTTAGTCATTTTCCCCTCAAATGTTCAACTGCAACACAGCATTAGTTTTACTTTATTTTTCTTCTTTGGAGTTTTTTTTTTTTTTTTCACTAAATAGCCAAGAATAAGACAGATTTTCCGAAAATAACTTACCACTTTTCCATTTTCCTTTTCTTTGTCAGAATCCTTCATTTCTCTGTACATGATTCTAAACATGAAATATTATTCAAGTTAATTCACAAATCAAATTATTTGTGATTATTGCCTATGAGGCTTCACTTCTTAAAAAATATATAAATGATATCATTCACTTGACATATGCTTGCATTAAACACTGAACTCAAGGAGAATTTTTAAGAAAAATATTTGTTAAACATAAGGGAAAGTAGTAGAAACCACATTCATGAGAGTTATGATTTATAAATTTAGCATTATTGCAAAGAAAGCATACATTAAATACAGCATTTAAAGATATGAAGTAACTGCAATATACCAAGTGTTATGATTATTTATATATAGTCATGTATTGCTTAATGACAGGGATAGATCTGAGAAATGCAGTTGGGTGATTTCATCACATGAATGTCACCCAATGGTAAGTATTTGTATATCAAAACACTTCTAAATATAGAAAAGGTACAGTAAAAATATGGCATTATAATGTTATGGAACCACTGTCGTTTATGCAGTCCACTGTTGATCAAAATGTCATTATGGGCCGGGCGCGGTGGCTCATGCCTGTAATCCTAGCACTCTGGGAGGCCGAGGTGGGCGGATCGTTTGATCTCAGGAGTTCGAGACCAGCCTGAGCAAGAGCGAGACCCCGTCTCTACCAAAAAAATAGAAAGAAATGATCTGGATAACCAAAAATATATATAGAAAAAATTAGCCGGGCATGGTGGCGCATGCCTGTAGTCCCAGCTACTCGGGAAGCTGAGGCAGTAGGATCGCTTGAGCCCAGGAGTTTGAGGTTGCTGTGAGCTAGGCTGATGCAATGGCACTCTAGCCCGGGCAACAGAGTAAGACTGTCTCAGAAAAAAAAAATGTTATTATACAGCCCATGACTATTATCATTGTAAAAATAAAATGGAGTAAAAAATGGTTTTTCTGTGTCTAGATGGAAAGAAGGATAGGTATAACAATGATCAGGAGTGCTTATATTCAAATAAGGCAGTTGAGATCAATTCTTAAACTCTTAATAAAACTTGAAGGGAGAATACCATTATGACTTCCTATTCTATCTCAAAAGGACCTACATTACTTTTATTGGACATTATAGAAGATTATGAATGATGTTGAGAACATCGGAAAAAGTACTAATAAAAGTGAAGTTACGATTAGAATTATGACAATTTATTATTTATATTAAATAATTTTTATAGGTAATATTTAATGATTACTACATCCTAAAGAGTAATAAAAACACTTTATATATATTAATTTACTGATTCCTCACAACCCCTCTCATTTTACAAATAAGGAAGGTGATACATAAAAATGTTAAATACATCTCCCCAAGGTCATTGTTAATTATTTGTTGAATGAACAAAGAGAGGTAGGTTTAACCCACACCTCCCAAAATAAAGAACAAAAAGAAAAAAAATTATGAATTATTATTATGTGTTTATTTATTTGAGACAAGGTCTCACTCTGTCACCTGGGCTGGAGTGCAGTGGCATGATCATACCTCACTGCAACCTCAAAGTCCTGGGCTAAAGCAATCCTCCCCTGTCTTGGCCTCCCAAAGTGTGAACCACTGTGCCCAGCCCAAAAAGAAAATATTTAGTACTTCATACATGATCCCAAAGAGTTCAAATGACATTCTTTTCAACAATTATGTGAAAAGTTAGTCTAGATTGTTTCCAAAGATCCTTCCAGTTCTAAAATTTAACCATGCTACATCAGGAGTCAGAAACGCTCTTACCTGTTCAGGAGTAAAGAGTTTACTCCTATTTACAGGAGTAAAACAACAGAAAAACCAAATCTTTTCTGTTCCTATAATCCAAAATATGGAAACAATGCTTTTTGGTTCATATACTATGACAATATCTACTAAAACATTAAGTTAAAATCTCTTACGTATATGTGGGCTCCCAAATACGCCTTAGTTTATCTGATTTCACGTTGCCATTACAGGACAATTGAAGTAATTTTTGCACATAGTAAAAGATGGTTGATCTGAAATTGGTGAGTGGTAATTCAACTTCACGAGTTGTTCCAAGACCTGTTACTTTCAAAGTGAGGGCTAATCGAGGTGACGGAGTACATTCGACTTCCTCCAAGAGCTCTGAATGAGGTGTCCCTAAAAATTTTGAACACATGTTAAAAACAACTATACTAAATCAAGCAGTCCAGGGAGAACACTGCATTAGATGACAAGGCCACATGAAATCTAAACCTTTCTGCCACACATTAGCTAAAGGATGTCAGCTACTTAAAACTCTCATGGCCTGAACATTTTTGTTTTTTTTTTTTTTAATGGGAATAAATTATACCTAGGTTACTGAAAGACAGAGTACTAGAATAGAATATATGTGCATAAGGATTTCTCATTTTTATTTAAAAGTACATATTAACAGCATGAATACTTAGGAAACATTTTGATTTTGTAAATGAGAAAACAAATTATCCCTAATTCTATATCCAGAGAAAGCCACACACTCTGGGCCAATGACTATTAACCTTTTACTAACACTGAATGAGTGAATTGTGAGGTAAACACATATACATACAAATATAATTACATTTATAATGTATTTGGTGGTGAACTTTTTTATTAGCTCATGAATCTTTTCTTCATAATAGTTATCTAAAATATTATTTTATTCACTGCATGACATCCCATTATACCTTAATAGAGTAATATCCCTATTATTGCACATAATTGAGGTCATTTCTAATTTTTTGACAATATAAATAATATTTTGCAGTCATCTATGTATACAAAATGGTACCGAGCTAATATTTCTTGGATATAAAGTACTAATGACAAACATACTTAATCAGAAGGTATGAAATATATTGCCAAAGAACTGCAGAGACAGTTTGTACCTAATTAGACTCTCTAGAATAGGTTTTCCTTTTCGAAGGACCTTCAAACATCTTGATTCAGCCTACATCCATCCTCGCCATAGAACACTATGATAAAAGTATACTTACTTTCCTATTTAACACAGGTATCATTTTATTAATTAAAAAGTATATTTCACATTTAATCAACAATTTAAGTGTTCTTTAAGGATAATATACTGATTCAATAGTTGACATTTATTAAGGCACACATTCAGGCCTAGATAGTTTAGGTGATTTGCCCATACCAGTTTCCTATTGCTGCTATAAAATATTGTCACAAACTGGGTGTTTTAAAAATGACACAAATTCATTATCGTAAAAGTTAAAAGTGTAAAATGGATTAGTAGGGCTTCACTCCTTCTGGAGGCTCTAAGAGTCTGTTTTCTTGCCTTTTCCAGCTTCTAGAGGCTGCTCACATTAGTTGGTTCATGGCCCCTCATCACTTCAACTGGCTCCCCTGGTCACATCTCCTTCTCTGACCACCCCCTACACCTCCCTCTTATAAGGACTCCTGTGATTCCATTGGGCCCACCTTGATAATCCAGGATAATCTTTCCATCTCAAGATCCTTAATTACATCTACAAAGTCTCTTTTATCATGATGAGGAACAGCCACAGGTTCTAGAGGATTTTAACATTTTTGGGGGGCCACTAGGATGCCTGTTACACACCATGGAAGAGTTGTAAAGGATAAAGTTATCACTGAGGCCAACTGACTCCAGAGACCATAACTGAAACCACTAGTCAGCTTTGCTATAGGAATACATCTTTAGCAATTTTGATACAGTAGAAAATAGGAGTAAAAAATTTCCCACCTTTACATGGGGCTTTGCTTTAAAAGTTGCACAAATACAAAAAACACATAGTGTTTATTAAAACTTTTAAAAATTGGTAATTTACTCATTTAAAAATATATATATTTTGGGGGGTGGGGGGGGCAGGGTCTTGCTCTGTTGCCTGGGCTAGAGTGCAGTGGCATCATCATAGCTCACTGCAACCTCAAACTTCTGGGCTCCAGTGATCCTCCTGCCTCAGCCTCCCAAGCAGCTGGAACTACAGGTGCTCGCCACCACTGCAGACTAATGTTTCTATTTTTTTATAGAGACAGGATCTTGCTCGTGCTCAGGCTGATCTCAAACTCCTGGCCTAAAGTGATCCTCCCGCCTTGGCCTCCTAAAGTGTTAGGATTACAGGCAAGAGCCACTGCAGGCCTCAAAATCTATAACTTTTTAAAGCCTTGTGGTTGATAGGTTGCTTTTCCTAAATGTTTTTATTTCTAACCTGTATACATAAGCAGCACCTTACTTTATAAGCTATATGTAACTATCCTATGTGGTATCCATTACAATTAAATCAAAAAACTAAAACATACTGTACCTGGGGGTGGAATTTCTAGATCGGTTGTCTGTTGGACATTAGTACGACCAGGTCTAGGATCAAAAGCAGGAACCAAAGCAGAGAACTGTCGCTTTAGCACATAATCATCATCCCATGTTCTCCGGCGTCCTCCTTTAGTTTCATACTCTTCTTCTTCCTATTAAAATAAAATTCCGCATACAGTCAAATGTTACACGAAGAAAATTTGCATTATTGCAAAAGTGATGTGCTATCTATAAAATAAGGTGCATGTTAAGTAGTTGTTTATGGCTGATACACTTCTTTAGTTAGCCATATTTCTTAAGCACAAAAAGAGCTGATATAAACATGTACACATGTACACGTACATATATTTCTTAGTGATTTCACTTCATCAAGAGTAAGTTACATCAGTGGTGGTTGTACAAATCTACACATGGTAAGATGACAAAGAACCATTCACACACATTGTACCAATGTCAATTTCCTAGCTTTGATGTTAGTGTATTATAATTAGGTAATATGAAACTAACCATTGGGAGAAGTTAGGCAAAAGGCACATCAAGACCTCTCTGTAGTATTTTTGCAACTTTCTATGAACCTCTAATTACTTTAAAATAAGGTTTTTAAAAATGTAAATTGCATTTCATACTGAATTACTTACAAAATAAAACAACTGGGAGTTACTTTAAATTACTAGAGAGCAGATAGCACATACATGTACTCCTCCTCACAGTTTTTTTTTTTTTAAAGGTGAGGTGACAATTTATTAATCCTTTTAGAAAAAAAGCAAATGTCATTTTCCATCATGTTGAAGGATACTGGCTTAATTCACATAATTCTTATTGACGTTTTACATAATATGAGACACAGAAAACATATTGGAAATATAAATTACTTTCTTTCCAATGGAGAAGAAAATAATAGACTCAAAAATTAAGTTAAATATCAAAAGAAGTTACATTATAAAATTTCTGTATTTCTAAAAATCTGATAATTAAAATATCAACATCTTTGTATTGATTGTGATACACTTACATAACCCTTGAAAACTCATTTTGAAGATGAAACTTTTGCTCAGAAACAATGTACCACAGAGAAGATCTTTTCACATTCTGAAAGAATATAAAACTTAAGAGTCTTTTAAAAATATTCACTAACTGTTCTTTGTTAAAAACATTAAGCACTTTAGAGTATAAAGCAGCAACTCTTACTAAGAAGGTGGTTAATCAGCCACACCTCCTGCCTTAGGGGGAATTTGCTTACTTGGAACTCTGGGCACTATAACGAATCCTAGACCAGCAAACTTCTTCTGCTGTACAGCTAACGTGTAAGGACTTGAACCTGGCTGATGGCAGCCAGCCTACTACAGTGCAGAAGAGTGTGACTTCTTGTACTTATATATGAATGCGTCTGTCTTTCCAAGGCTAACTTTGTAGCATTCTACTGGTACCAAAGAGCCAAATGGTGACATTTTTTCTAGGCACTCCTGGTTACTGGCTTCAAATGAAGACAATTCTGTCTCTGATAAGCCAGTTGTTTCTTCCAGATTCAAGCACCTTTTAATTCCAGGTTCATCTGTGTAACTGTTCTTGGAATTTAAAGGGATGCTGCTTTCTTCGCAATCTTTAAGGCGCCTGTGGTGATCTTCGCTAAGCAACAATACAATGGTTCCGCCAACACGAAGCACTCTTTCCATTTCTTGTAGAATGCTTTTGATGTCCTTTCCTAACTTAAACTTTTTCCCAAATGGAATGTCAGAAATAATAATATCAACACTTTCTGAAGGCAATGGCAATTTGGCCATTCCTTAGCAGCTTCTAAAAGTATTGTTCCAAGTCCACACATTGGATCTAAAACAAATGCACCAGCCTTAATTTCAGCGAGAGATGCCATTGCCCATGCTATGGTAGATCTCAGCCCAGCCGTCTTGATGTAAGTTCTGCTGGCTAAAGGAACTCTGAACACAGGAATCCCCACCACAGAGTAAATGTCATTTAGATGTACAAAGATCTCTAAATTTGGATTCCTCAAATCTGCTTTCCATCCAAACTGTTTCATAAGAGCAATTCCAATTACTTTTCCTACCTCCTGTGCAGAAAACGCCTTTCCAACAGTTCCACTGCAGCGACAAGAAACTCTGAAAGTCAAGCTACTCTGGTTATGAGTAATAGTTGCTTTCTCTATATCATTCTGAAATTCCTCTTCTTGAAATTTTTCTCCTTTGGTGATAAAATCTCTTTGCTCCAGAGTTTCTTCTTCTATTTGTTTTTCCATCTGGCATTCCCTATTCTCCTCTATCTTTTGCAGCTGTTCTATTTTTAATTTCTTAGCAATGATGATTTCATTTTCTCCTACTTTTCTTTTTAGTAGGTTAGCATCTTTTTGAGAAAGTTTTTCCTTTTTTGCATCAAGTTCAAGAAGCTTTTTCCAAAGTGAAATGGCATTCAACCAACTTCCTGGATCATTTATAAGTCTTTGCATTTCATTAAATATTTTTCCTTTTCTTACAGAAGAAATAGCAAGTGGGAACTCCTTTTTAATAAGCAAAAATAACCTTTCTGCAGATTTTAATTTCTTCAGCATATTCACATCAGAACAGGTGGTAAAAAAATACCTTTCCTGAAGTATATTCAACCTGCGTGGCCGCCAGCCGCGCCCGCACCTCGCGCATCAGGAACGGCTCCAGGCCGCGGCCCGCGGTGCAGAAGTTCCGGGCGCCGGGTCCGGCCCGAGTTCTCCTGGCGGCGCCGACATGGCGGCTCCCCTCCTCATAGTTTGAACACTTAACTAAAATTAACTTTTATAACAGATCAAACTGACATTTGACAGATATGGAGCAAAAACGTCTGGGTTTGCATCCTGTACCCAAAATTACTAACTATATGTGACTTTTAGCAATCATTTCACCTGAAAATTTGGGCTATTAATGCTCAAAATGTTGAAAAAATTAAATTAATATATGTAAAGTATTAAGAACTGTCCTAGCACTTAGTGATCAGTGTTAGCTGACGGACTACTACAACTACTACTACCACTCTACTACTAAAACTATAAATCTTAGATAATACCTATTAACCATTTTAATAAATGCTTACTGTTACCCAAAGGCCAAGACAAAGGTGTTTAAAGTTTGAAACTCCTGTATGCATTATACCAGAGCAATCATGGATTCTATCTGGAATATGAAACCCAAGCAGAAAGGGAAGACTTCTTTTTCTGTTTGGAAGCTCCCTCCCCTTCCCTGCCCTCCACACATTTTATAGGCATTTAGGCATTTTGGTTGATGCTTTATCACGCAAGAGAAAATATACATATACTATTTTGTAGGGAAGATAAACATGAAGATATTACCTGCTCCCCAATAGGTCGGCTCCCTGCTCCAGCAGGGACCTGTGGTAGCTGCGAGGTGACAGCATGGTGTGTTACATCAGAGCGGGAGCCAGCTCGACGTTGCAGAGATGGACGTCTCAGAATCTAAAATTTAAAAATGCCAAGAGACACGTATCTAATTATTTGACCCATATGTATTTCCATTCAGCCTTGCCTTAAAATTAGCCCATATTAACAAAAGTGTCACTAAAAAACTTTATCTTCATTAGCCACCTAAAGTTATAAATTCAACGTTTTAAATTCATCATGCATTTTATAGTAATCTCTTTCATAAAAAATGTTAATGTACTATTTGTCTTCTTAGTAACATATATTAAAAGCATTTTTTAGATGTTTTCACCCCATTAAAACTCAAAAAAATTTTTTTTTTTTTTTTTACCGATTTTTTGAAATTGAGTAACATTTTATAAGGAGAAATTTAAAATTCGCACAAAGTTAAAATACAGGATATTTCGAGGCACAACTTTCAATTAGAAATCAATCGTAGTGGTTAAATATTGAGGGCTTGAGATCACACTGCCCAGGCCTGGCTACTCGTTTTTTTTTTTTTTACTTAACTCTGAGGATAAGGGCAAATTATTGCTTTATGTCTCTACCTCATTCCTTCACGTGACACTACTGAGAAAATAGATGGACACTGCTTGCAAAACCTTTACTCAAAGAATCATGAAAATTATATTCCTTTTTTTGAGACAGGGTCTTGTTCTGTCACCCCAGCTACAGTGCAGTGGCATCACCATAGCTCACTGCAACTACAAACTCCTGGCTAGGCTCAAGTGATCCTTCTGCCTCACCCTCCCACACAGCTGGGACTATAGGCACACGCCACCATGCCTGGCTTATTTTTCTATTTTTTGTAGAGACGGGGTCTCGCTCTTGCTCAGGCTGGTCTCAAACTCCTGACTTCAAGCAATCTTCCCGCCTTGGCCTCCCGGAGTGCTAGAATTATATGCGTGAGCCATTGTGCCCAGCCACTGAAAATTATATTCTTTAAGATAGTGTAGTTGTCTCTAATTTCACATACTTTAAAACCTGTTAAAACATCAGCATGTGACATTGTAGAATTTTCAAATATAAGCATTATTTTCTTTTAATGGAGAATCATAAATACCCAGATTAAAAGTGCTTGTCTTAATTAACCACATTTTTCATACTGGTGCTATTTTTCTTCCTTTGAAGTTTAATTACGGCTTAGCTTTTCCTCTCTTCAATTCAATTATTAACACCCTATCTTAGTGAAGAGAATGGGGCACTCTCTCTACCATAACCTCCTCGTATTCTTGGTCCTCCTGATTGTCATCTTCATTTTCATCGTCTTCCTCATCTGGCTCAGGCAAGTCCTCATCATCATCTAGCTCAGCCAACAGAGTACTGGCACGGCAGCTATCAAGGAAATCTATAAAACAAAACCAACAACCTTATTGTCAACACAATTTAAAAAAACACAGCAAAGTAACTTTGCATTTTGGGTTTCACAAAACAAAGGTAAAATTCAGAAAACACAAGTATAGAGGCAATCACTCTGTGATTCTCCCATAAGTACGTACTACATAAATTTCTGTGCCTCTTCTCCAAACAAAAAAAAGGGACAAGTATAAAGACCACACTTAGTGATGCAACACTTCTTCCACCACCACACAAACAGGATGAGTAAAAATGCGAAACAGTCACAAGCACGGCAGAAAACAAGGGATAATGGATGACCATAAACCATATACTATGTGCCAAGAACTGTGTTAGGCACTAGGCACATATAGCCGTAAACAATAAAGCCATGGTCTGAAGCCCCATGGAGCCTACATGGAGAGAGACAGTTAATGAATAAACAGGCTAGATACAGTGGCTAACACCTGTAATCCCAGCACTTTGGGAGGTTGAGACAGGAGGATCACTTGAGGCTAGGAGTCTGAGACCAGCCTCAGCAACACAGTAAGTGAAATATTTGGCAGCCATTTCAAATATCCTAGAAACCCATCCAACAATGTGAAAATATTTGCACAATGTACTGAATAAAAAGAGCTGGTTGAAAAGGATATAATCCCCTTTTTGTTAAAAACAAAAACAGGCCAGGCATGGTGGCTCACGCCTATAATCCTAGCACTTCTGGAGGTTGAGGCAGGAAGATCACTTGAGGTTAGGAGTTTGAGACCACCCTTAGCAAGAGTAAGACCCCATCTCTACAAAAAAATAGAAAAATTAGCTGGGCATGGGGGTGCACGCCTATAGTCCCAGCTACTCGAGAGGCTGAGGCAGGAGGATTGCTTGAGCACAGCCAGGAGTTTGAGGTTGCAGTGAGCTTTGATGATGCCACTGCACTCTAGCCTGGGTGACAGAGTGAGAGCCCATCTAAAAAAATAAAAATAAATAAAAAGATAAATAAAAATTAAAAAATTAAAAGAATAAAAAACATACATCATGATCTGGAAGGTAGAGATTGGATTATTTTAATTTTCTTCGATAGTTTGTATAAAAAGTATTACTTTTCTAATAGGATAAAATAAGAGGAATAGAAACACTGTATTTCAACTGAATTGAATGGTTTTTTTCCCTCTGACAACAGCATGGAAACCACGATGATGTAACTATTGAACCTTCTGAGCAAATTTCAAATGTTAGCCTAATCAAGAAATTACTTCCAAAGGGCCTTAATTAACAATGTCCAAGAAATGTCACATTACAAAGTTTATTAATCTACTATATTTCTTCTATTATTGATAAAGGTGTCAAAAATCTTTGTTACTGTAGTTCTTCCATTAAAACTTCATTAGTGACAAAAGGCAAAAAAAGATGACATATAGAAGTTCCTAGATGTCTGCTTTGTTTATAATCAGATCATTTTTAACAGTCTCTCATATCACTAAGTTTTTCATATTATATGAAGATTCTACATTTGTAAGAGAGAATAATTCTTTTTAAACAAAAGTTAGAAATACCCCAGGAGAATACATAATAAAAGCATCATTATATAATTATCTAAATATTTTAGGCTAGGTGCGGTGGCTCACACCTGTAATCCTAGCACTCTGGGAGGCCGAGGCAGGAGGATAGCTTGAGCTTAAGAGTTTGAGACCAGCCTGAGTAAGAGCAAGACCCTGTCTCTACTGAAAATAGAAAAATTAGCAGGGCGTGGTGGCATGCGCCTGTAGTCCCAGCTACTGGGGAGGCTGAGGCAGGAGAATTGCTTGAGGCCAGGAGTTTGAGGTTGCTGTGAGCTAGGCTGACACCACAGCATTCTAGCCCAGGTGACACAGCAGATTCCATCTCAAAATAAATAAATAAATATATATATATTTTAATTTAAACCGTAACTTACCATATAAGGAATATTCTGCTTCCTGACCTGTGTCACTCTCACTGGAGGTTGATGTGAGGCTGGTGGTTAAAGTATTACTTAATGACTGACCAACTGATAAAACTGTTGTTGCTGTAGCTACATTGCTGCTGCTAGTCACACTGGATGTTGACATAGTCACTGTTGATGTTGTACCAGGTGTAGTCAAATTAGGGAAACTCTGAGCACCCATAAGAGGAGAAGCTAAAGATAAAAATGAAGCAAATCAGTACGAAATAGGTGGGACTGTAGAAAGCTTAGAAAAAACAAGTTTTATATTTTTCAAAGAGTGAGGTCATGAAACACATTGAAAATAGAAAGGCTGAAAAGCAACAACTTTGGGAACCCAACTGAAATCCAACTAAAATTTCTTGTTTTTATAGCACTATTATTTTTCAAAGTATTAAGCCTACCTTTTAAAAAAAGTCAAACAAGCAATGAAATAATTCTCAACGTATTTTCCAAGGGAATTACTTCGAACTCTTAGTAGCTTAAATTAGAATTTTCTGAAGCTAAAATCAATGTAGAGCCTAAGTAAAAAGTATACCAGTTTTGGTTTGAATGGACTATAATATTTAATAGTTATCTATTTCCTCACGCAACTTTGCTTAATGATTTATCATAAAAGAGTGGAAAACAGAAGTATTATTATTTTATCCTTTTAGAATGAGGTTATCATACCTGATCTGAATTCTTAAAATATTATGATTCCATAGAACTTCATATTCCTGAAGTGCTAAATTTGATGTAGCTGTATCTCTATTTGTTTAATGATCTAGTTAAAGACTGCAGCCAGGACACACTGAACAAGAGACCCTACTTTGCATCCCTCAGAGTGGAAAAAGCATTGGGTTCCATAAGGAAAAGCTCACTTACTTGCTGTGCTCATCACATTCCTCCCCAAAGTATTAGTGTTGTTATCACTGCTGCTTCGGCTTAGATTCATGTTGTTCGTGGCATTAGTCCGTGCTATGTTTGCCACTCTCCTTACAAAACTCTCCAAGCTAGAAGTTTCTCTTGAGGACAGGTTAGGCACACTTGCACTAGAGCTCATTGGGGCCCCAGCAGCCAACAAAGAACTCACTGACAGTCTGTTACTTGCTGAAGAGCTAAGGGGTCGTTGTGAAGCTGCTTCTTTATTAGTTAATTCAGATACTGAACTAACATCAGGAGAGCTTACACTAACAATTCCCATGGATATTGCACTAGACTCCCCAGGAGTACGAACAGAACTATCAGGGCCTAACTTCCTTTCAGCATTTTCACTTCCCGTTTCCGCTGTTAAGGTGCTGGTGCTTGCACTGGAAGATGACCCTACTTCTGTTTGAGGGACGTTTTCAGCAGATGAAAGAACAACAATTGGTTCATGGACATCAGCTCCTGAAACTATACTGTGTTCCATTACAATTTCTGATCTCCGTTCCGTTTTGGTCGAACCCAAGCTGATGTCGCTGCTACTGGCCACGCTACACACAGAACTGCTGCTTCCTTTTCTACTTGAGGAGCCTGCAGCAGCAGATGTCTTGTCTGGACAGTTGTTTTTCACCAAGCTGCTCCATGATTGCGTTGTGCCTGAAACAGTGGATGAAACAGGTTTGGGTGATGCCACTGTATCAGGGTCGTACCCTGGTGCAAGCTTGAGGTCAAATTTTCCTTCTGCGCCCATACGGTAAGAGTTTGAGCCACCAGCATCCCAGGTGACATCAATCCAGCCTGGAAAGGGACAGGAGTTTGTGAGACCCAGCAGAAAGCAGATAGGAGCGTGTCAGACAGTAGCTCCACAATATGGGATCAGCTTTTCATCAGTGCTGTACTTCTCTGAATTGCTACAGTCATTTAAGGTCTGCCAATTAAAATGTAAATTGTTGACTCTAATCAATTGAAACATTATTTGACTATATAATTAGACTAGCTATCTGAAAGCCTGTAGTATTTAATTCTCACGATAAAATTATGTTAAGGAAAAGAAATATGTACTGTATACAAGGTTTGTGGGAAATATTTAAAATTCCTTTTTTTCCCCTTATTTCTGAACTATTCTATCTACAGATGTATAAAATCAATGTAAGGGTCATGTTTAATCTATTGTGTTATTTTTTAAATGGAAGAATTGTTTAAAAAAATGAAAAAGACTGATACAAATGGCAAAATACTGCCACTTCAGCAAGTAAATGAAATCTAAGTAAAAGTTTTTTGATTGCTAAATATAATTATGGAGTCAAAAAAGTGCCAGCTTACCATTAATTTCCAAGTTTGGGCTAAATCCACTAAATGACAGACAAAATATTCATATATTACTATATAAATTTTAGGTCACTAGCTGAAATAAAGCACTAAGTTAGCATTTCGGTTGTGTTCTCAAAGTTCAGTGGTTCTTTGGTTCTCTTATGATTAAGTTTAATAAATTTAAATAAGCGCAGAAAATTCTAATAAAATTTAAAGAGCATGCTGAGCTCTTTTATTAGAACCTATTTGCTAACGCTAATAACATATAAAGAACTAATCAGCATAATGATATTCAACCTATATATTTACTTATACCCAGAGAATAATAGTCATTCTTTTTGTAAAAAGGTAATTAACTTCCAAAGCAGAAAATTAACTGCCTATTAGAAAGGAAATTAACAGAAAGTTTACAATCTTATTTTAATGTTATAAGCTAACTATTTCAGGGAAAAACATAACACGTGAAAAACATTTATTTTTTTAAGTACAACAAGCCTCTACAGAGTTTAAAAGTTCTTAGCCCACACATGCACAGGGCACAAGGTCTGACAGCCACCCATCCACCCACACACCCAGTCACCCAACCCACACATCCACCACGTTCTTATGTTTATGATGAAGCTCAAAGGGGTATAAATAATATCAAATTACCTGTGGGGATTATCTGCATGAGTTCTTTGAAAGGAAAAGTGACTGCCCCAAATCTACGTAAGTAGCTTAGATGAGATTTCAATTGCCTTAATTTTTTTCTGTATGCTGAAATAACCTCTGAAAAATCAACACTTAACTCTCTCTTCTGCCACACAGAATCATGTGAGAAAAGGCAAGGTTCAAAAACAGATCCCAATCCCAAATAAAAACGACTTTTGTGTTGTATTAGTGGTCCCAAAAACATACTGATAATTTATTTCACAGCACTTACCAAGATTTGCAATTGTGTATTTATTTGTTTCACCCAGAAGGCAGGGGAGCATACTTTTTTTTGACCATTGAACATGTGAATTCTAATGAAGTAGCTTTACATAGTAGGTACTCAGTATTCAGAGAACAAATGGATATTCCTACCAATACACAGACTCTTTGGAAGGGAAACAGTGTAATTGATAAAATGTGGAAAAATACTTAAAAATGTAAATCATTTATATTAGGCTTCAGAATGCATTTAAACTATTACCTAAAACCTTCTAGTGGAACTAAGAAAGGGTGCATACATAGTACACGTAAGTGTACAGGTACAAAACTCACAACTCGTATGCCTAAAAGATACAGAGTTTGTCATGATGAGGCATTATTAAAAATGGTTGGCTTAGGTATTTGAAAGCTAAGGACCCTACCTGACACAAAGGTTTTAAGGCTTGACAACACCAATAGCCATGCTGGTCAGCCAAAACTCAAATCTCTACACCTGTCAGATCAGCAAAAATAGGCCCTTCTTGAATGCTAAATTCTGAAAATAAGATAGTAATTTTTATATGCAGTCGCTTCAGTTGACTCCATCCAGAGGCAAATGAACTATATTCACATGTCCCTAATTAGTCTCCTCATATCAAGTCACATACTTCAAGGCCAAAACAATTACAAAAGATAGAATATTAACTTATTAGTAAGTATCATCAAGATGCCTAAATACAAGAACATGTGAAACTCCTGAGTTGAACAGTACCACTGTAATCTAAACTATTACTGGTATTTATGAATTTTGGATCACTGTAAAGCTGCCTTGATTACAATGATTTGCAATTAGGATATGATGCTATACAGAAATGTATTTGGGGGCCAGGTGGTAATCCTAGCACTTTGAGAGGCTGAAATGGGAGGATTGCTTGAGGCCAGGAGTTTGAGACCAGCCTGAGCAAGAGCGAGATTCCATCTCTACAAAAAATAGAAAAACTAGCCAGGTGTGGTGGCACATGCCTGTAGTCCCAGCTACTCAGGAGTCTGAGGCAAGAGGATCACTTGAGCCCAGGAGTTTGAGGCTGTAGTGAGCTATGATGACACCCCTGCAGCACTCTGGACTGAGCAACAGAGCAATACTCTGTCTCAAAACAACAACAAAAAAAAGTAAATATTTTTTAAAAAAGAAATGCATGTGGTACTGTGGTAATTCCAGAAACAGAATCTTAAAAGCAATAAAATCAAACGGTTTATCTAAATAAATAAAGGCTTTAGCATATAAAGCATGAATATATTAAGAGATTAAATGGTAGTCATTCTCCTAAGCATTCTCGCTTTTATTATAGCTCTTTAGATATTTGGTATTAAGTTGAGAATATGAACAATTTCCTTTTTTTTGATGCCAGGCAAAATTGATACAAACAGACCCACTACCATTTAGGTAAATTATCTGCTAATAAATCAGCCTTATAGTTGTAACAAAAAAATTAGTCACTATAGTTGCTTTGGAGTTAACAACGATTTATTAAGTGGGTAAGGATTTTGCTAAAATCTACAGCATCAAAGGAAGTTGATTTACACAATAACCCTTACAAAGCATAAAAGTTTAAACTCCCAAAAAAAGCATTGTGAAATAATGATAATATACTAACAAATAAAGAGGCTACATCTGTTTCAAGCTTTATTGAAAAATATGAAGTAAAAAGGTTAATCCTTTTTCTTCTGCATGATTTATAATACAGGAAAAAACTATTGCCTGGCTCCTGTAAGACTAACAAGAAAAGTGTAAGAAATTAAAACCCAAAGTAAACTTGAGAATAATAAACTAGGGGGAAAAAAGAAAAAGTGTCTTGAGGGTACTCAACTTACACTAAGTTTGATAATCACTTCAAAATATTAGCAATAAGTTTCTAGTCAAAACCCAAGAACTTAAAATTTTCCCCAATTTCTTAATGTTTTTTCCATTTTTCATGTGAAATCACTATCAGTTCTTCTAAATAGTGTTGGTACATTTACACAATTTATAAATTATCCCAAGATAAAAGAAAAAAAACCCTAAGACCTTATTTCTACATTACAAGTGCTAAGCACCTACTCACCATTATGTAGTTCTCCTGTGACAGTGCCTTCTCCCTGTGGGCTGCCATCCTGATCTCGCCATTTCCAGTCAAGGCCTCTGATAACACGAGCTCCTGGAACCATGTATTTCAGAACCTGGGAGCGTACTAGACGTCTCTGTC